AATCCAAGCTATGATGTAGCAGCATCTGAGAGGGTTATGGCAATTAAGATTAATTTGCATTCACTCTCAAACCATCTCTACTTTTTGCTGTTAGCTGCTCCTTTGTATTCAGGTCAGGTCGTAGTAAGATAATGTAGCATTTGGGAATGAAGATGCAGCCCAGCAGTCCGGCACTGGAGGCCAGAATGGAGAAGACCTGCACAGCTACCATATATTTCCCTTTGGTACTTAGGTAGGTGGGGACAAAGGACACCCACACACTGCAAAAGACCAACATGCTGAAGGTGATCAGCTTGGCTTCATTGAAGGCCCCAGGAAGGTTCCTGGCCAGGAAAGCCACCGTGAAACAGATGGCAGCCAAGAAGCCCATGTATGAGAGGGCACTGTAAAACATGATGATAGAGCCTTCATTGCACTTCAGAACAATCTCTTCTGGCTGGGAGTGCACGTCAGACTCGGGAAATGAGGGAGAAACTCCCAACCAGACGGTACAGATGATAACTTGGAGACCAGAGCCAGAAAGGACAATAGAGTTGGCTAAAATCTTTCCCAACCATCTCCGCACAGAATTCCCAGGTCTTGTGGCCAGGAAGGCTAGCACCACTGTAATCGTTTTGGCTAAGATGGAAGATACTGCAATAGAGAAGATGATGCTGAAGGATGTTTGCCTGAGAAGGCAGGTGGCTGCCCTGGGACGACCAATGAAGAGGAGGGAGGTCAAGAAGGACAACAGGAGAGAGACCAGAAGGATGTAGGAAAGGTCCCGGTTGTTGGCCTTGACTATGGGTGTTTCTAAGAATTTGATGAAGATTGCTAAGACGAAGGCAGTGATCAAAGACAAGACGAGGCTAGAGGAAGCCAGGATTATGCCCAAGTCTTCTTTGTAAGACAAGAAGGTTACTTTCTTGGGGATGCATTTGGTTTGGTCTTTATTTGGATGCTGATCTTCTAGACATCTTGTGCACTTCTCTGCATCTGGGGAGAAGACAGGCAAGAACTCTTAATTTTACATAACTATAATACAACAGTCTTTTTGAATATGCTTATGAATTATCGCTAGGATTCTGGGCTTCGAAATCCGAGTCTGTCAAAGGAGAAATTCTCTGAGGATCATCTGTGATGAACTGGTTCGCTCCAACGATCAGCTGATGGCCCTACCTTCCCACCACTCTTTACCAGTGGTGGCTAACCTTTTTGGGTTCCTGTGCCGAAAATTGCATGCACGGTTGCACTCGTGTGCTCGCATGTCAGCACCCAAAGGCAATGAGAATGGCCTCCCTCCCCTTACTCATGCGTGTGTGACCCACCATGTGCCGCACATCTCTGCGCATGTGCACACAATCCCCCCATGTGCCATGCATCTCTGCGCATGCGTGTAAGATCCCCTGCATGCACCGCACGTCTCTGGGCAAGCTCGTGAATCTCCTGTGCCCCTTTCCCCCTGCGCATGCACACACCAGATACCTGACAATCAGCTGTCAAGCAGGCGGTGCACACGCATGTGCAGTGGGGTTCTTCCGGGCAACCTCTCGCGTGCCGGCAGAAAGGGCTCTGCATGCCACTTTCAGCACGTATGCCATAGATTCACCATCACGGCTCTATACTGACCTATATTTCCTGGTTTTGAAGCTCAGCTGCTTCACGCGGCACAAAGGATCGCCACGTGTCAGTTGTTGAACCCACAGGGAGAGTGCAGGATTTCAGGAGAAGGCCAGTATCAAACCCTCTGTGGGCACGCAAAGCATACATCTGGTGCCTGCGTACCCGCCCACAGAACCAGTGGTAAAAAAAAAGTTGAATCCCACCACTGCTGGTTGCACATTTTAGGCAAGCTTGCTTCCAAACATCTCTAAATGGAGATGCTTTTATGATTCTCCACCCCATTCTTCATAGATTTACCTTTTCCCTTAGGGTTCCATACCTTCCTGAGTGGAGATGGTGCCTTTTGCACACATGACACATCTGTAGCAGCAAAGAGGCCTTCCTTCCAGGACCACCTTGGCTTGGCCAGGACGACAGCTTTCGGTACACCTGGAGCGAGGCAGAGACTGACCCAAAGAGAAGGAACATCAACCATAGAAGATTAAATGGTGCCATACTCATGAGACATTAATCATTTCAAGGGAGAGGGAGTTCAGAGAAAGACCCAGGCCCAACCCCTCTTCATTCTAGGGCACGCAGGGAGGAACGGAGAAGAGAGGAAGGTAGATTATGTGCCTGACACGGGAGGAAAGGGCCCTGATTCCCTTCATTAGCCACAGCTGGGAAGGAAGTTTAAAAGAGATGCATGCTGAGTGTGGCGTCTGCTGGGAACAAATGTGAGTTTAACTTTGGTTATCTGCGTTCCTGGCATCCTCCTAACTGGGTTGAGTTATTACTATGCCTTCATGTCTGGAATTCCTTCTCCTGCCCTGCCGGACTAATTACCTCATTTTGCCTTGTTTGGACTTATACAGTTTTTGTTGACCACGTTTTGGACTTGATTCTCTGCAGTCAAAGGCTGTTCCTGGTGGAGTTGTTCTCCTGCCAGAAGATAACCAGGACATTGGGGCTAAGTTGGAGCTAATAAAGGACTCCTACTGATTATCTGATTGTGTTGCTTTTCTGCCAAACCCTGGGTCATCATTAGCACTATAAAGTGGTATATAAGTCTAAGTGCTACTGCTATTCTTTTTCCAGGTGTAATACAAACTCTCTTTTACTTCAAAGACAGGCTGGAGAGTCATCTGTCAAAGATAATTCAGAGAATTCTACACTGAGAATGGGTTTGGAATAGTTGACCTCTCACTTCTGGCTCTGGGGTTCAATGACAAAAATGGGGCAGAGCTAGATGGGACAAAATAAAGTTATGAACCCAATGCCTGATGTGGAGGTGGTTGTTCAGGCATCCTAGGACAGTGATGGTGAACCTTTTCGGCACTGAGTGCCCAAAGCGCACACATGAATACCCAAAATGCAATGCTCTCCCTATGCATGTGTGCGCACCCCGCATTCACACACATGCTCCCTGCATATTCGCCCCCGCGCATATGGCTTACACGGCAGAGACCTGAATGTCTGATGGTCAGTGGGAGGCACACAGGCATGCATGGTGGAGCTGATCTGGGGCAACGGTGCGCATGCCCACAGAGAGGGCTCTGCGTGCCACCATAGGTTCACCACTATGGTCCTAGGAGAACCAGGGGGGATTTCTGAAAAGAGATACAAAATAGACTCAGGAAAAATCAAAGGAATGGCAAACTTCAGGTGGACCATGGTTAATCCGTGGGCAAATGTTCCCCCAGAAGATGTGTTGATGGCAAAATTTCAGTGGCTTTCAAAGGGAAAAGTTATTAATGACACAACTTTCAGGAGCTATGGCTGTGATTGGAATTAGCTCATTACATGAAACCAGGAATTCTTTAAGAATGGTGATTGAATTAAACACGGCAAGATTTTTCCCCGTGATTAATACATTTAGAAAGCCTGGAGACAGTAGATCAAATCTTCCCCAATGAGAGTAATGTCTGAAGGAAAATGGAATAAAAAAACCAAATAATAAGCACACTGATTCATCAACCACAATAATTATATCAATAAGCGCCAATCAACCTTTTTATGGCATGTGAAGTATTAATTCAGAAAATGTCCCTTCCAGCAGAGGTGGTATTCAGCAGGTTCTGACCAGTTCTGGAGAACCGGTAGTGGAAATTTTGAGTAGTTCAGAGAACCAGCAAATACCACCTCTGACTGGAGATTTTATAGTCTCCTTCCCCTGCCACGCCCACCAAGCCATGCCCACAGAACTGGTAGTGAAAACATTTGAATCCCACCACTGCCTTCCAGGATTGTCAGGAGCATTCTCCACTCTAATTCCTGACCCTTGGACATTTAACCTAGTTTTACTGTTTTGACTAACAAACAAGTACTGGCAAACATGTCGCTAGAAGGCAAAATCATGAAACTTGGTCTCCCTTAGTTTGTCATGTGGGACAATTCACAAGAGAAAGAAATTTTGTTCGGAAGAGTTAGCAGTAAAAGGAAAGCAGGCCATCAAAGAACAAGGTGACTGGACACCATTAAAGCTGACATTGAACATAGAAAAACTCAAATAAATAGTACAAGAACACGTGATGTGGCCTATAGAATTGCCAAGAATTGGATGCCACTGAATGGATAACTTTATCATCATCACTGTTTTGACTGCAAGTCAACCAACAAGGGAAAGAAAATTTCCTTCATAAGCCATGGAAAGCAATCATCAGTCACAACTTGTAATAACATAAATAAGGAAGAAAGAACCAAGTAGCATCTGAATCTGTCTAATCCTCAGTAGACCTCTTGATCATGGAGTCCAACTCGGAGTTCCAATGAGCCTAGCAATTTCATCGGAAACAGTGATCCCACACAATCCTTCATCCCATCTCCACCCACTTCCCAAACATTTCCCAATTGGTTGGAATAATGAAAGTGTCATGCCCCTATTGGAGTCTGATTCCGAGGGGGAGGTAGACCAGCTGACAGGGAGTGGGAGTGTGGCTCCGGTTGCTGTGAAGGAAACTGGGGAAGGGCACAGTCTGGCTGGGCATTCAGAGGAAGACTCAGGCCCACCCCCTCTTCATCCTAGGGCACGCAGGAAGAAGAGGATAAGGGAGTAACATGGGTGAGAAAAGGGCCCTGATTCCCTTCATTAGCTGCATCTGGGAAAACAGGATTTAAAAGGGGTGTTTGCGCACAGCACCTTGATGGAAGCAAAGTGTGAATTATATTTGTTTGTCGAGGCTTATCTGGGTTCTGATGTCCTCCCAACTCTATGTGGTTTATTATCTTTTGAAGTCTGCATTTCCTTATCCTGCCTTGTCTCGTTAATTGCTGCGGCGTGGTTTGTGTTGGTTTTTATTTATAATTTATATGTACTGTGCTATCCAGACAGTATATAGTTAATTGGGAATTGGGATAGTTAGTTAGGAATTGGGAGCTGTCCCCTTAAGGGAATGCCTCATGGTAAATGTAGTTAATGCATCATGGGAAATGTAGTTCATGTCATGTGGTCACATCTGTAATCCTGATTGGTCACTGAATTGACCCTTGGTTGGGGTGGGGGAGTTTCCTTTACTCTTGCTTGGACCCCAGCTCCGTGCTGGTGTTTCACCCTTTGCTCCTTCGTTATGGGATCACTTTAATTTCACACTATGAAGTCAACTGTGCAAAGAATTGGACATTAGATGTATCTCGACATAACCGTGAGTTACATTTCAAGGATGCCTTGTGACCCAATAAAGAAACTTTGCATGGAAGCCTTTGTAGAGTTTTCCTGACTGTCTTTATATTCAGCCAGTAAATTTAAAAGATGGATCAATGAAATTATAGCGCTAATCTGAATCCCGGCACTGAAATTACGTTATTCCTATGAAGAGTGAAATTATAATGTAATCGGAATTCCAAAAGTGAAGATATGAGTTAATCAGATTCCCAGTGAAAGAGTGGAAAAGTCATTAATCTGATGTCCTAGAAAGGTAAAGAAGAAGGATTTAAACCCTGAATTCTCTCTCTCTTTCTCTCTCTGAGCAACTGAAGTTATAAAGCCTGTTTGAATTACTGGGAGGGGCCAGAAATTCCCCCATTTGCTAGAGACAAACAAGCGGCATCTTCTCTGTCTCTCCTTGCAGCCCTCCAGTTATTGTCTTCAGACAAATGCAGTTGAACGGGACTGAGTAATCCTTTCTTGTGTCCTAAAAAACAAAGAAACTGCATTTTCTCTAGCTCTGGAGTTGCTTTCGATTCCTCATTGCTTGTGCCTTGCAGGAAAGACAGCCATAAAGAGGCCCTTCTACCCAGTTTACGATGTGGTCTCCAGACAATAGAGTTGTAAATTCTTTAGGATGATCCATCTCCTTAGAAACGGACCATAATTTCTTTCCACAAAGAGGGAATCCAAATCCAGCTGGCAATTTAAAGAAAAAAAAATACAGCATGCCAGTCTTTCTTTGCTGGCAAAGTGAGAAAGTTTTCCCTTTACTGGAATTAAACGCAATCTTTAGTCAAAAGACACCAGCCTGCCTTCCTCAAAAAGGAAAAACGCCTTGGGCATAGTCTGCTCCAAACATTGACTAATCCTCATAGGAGACTCTTAAACTCAGCAAACCCCTTGAAATGCAGCGCAAGGGTCCTAAATACAGCTACCAGCTTGCAGCACCAGCTTGTGGTCAAGTAATGAATTTTACAGGAGCTTCCTAAATTCAGCAGCCCCCTTGCAATGCAGAGCAAGGGTCAACTAGTGAATTTTACAGGAATTTCCTAAATTCAGCAGCCCCCTTGCAATGCAGCGCAAGGGTCCTAAATTCAGCAACCCACTTGTAACGTAACCCAAGGGTCAAGTACTGAATTGCAACGCACTCAAGGGGCCAACCTGTGAACTGCACCAGCGCCTCCAGACCTTGCAACACACCCTCTAGTGGCCAACCAGTGAATTTCTATGGAGCTTCCTAAATTCAGCTACCTGCTTGCAGTGCACCCTAATGGAAAAAAAAGGGAATTGCATGGAAAACCGCTAAATCTTCCAAACTTCAACGACAGAACATGTACTTTGGGTTCGGACTAAATTTCTTCCCTTTAAAGACTGTTCTTGGGAGAGTTTACTTTCCTCCAGCTGAAGATAATTGGACATTGGGGACCAAGTTGGAGGTATTAAAGGGATTTTACCTATTGTTGTGACTTTGTTGCTTTTGTGCCACACCCTGGGTCATCACAGAAAGAGAGTTTGGAAAGCATTACATAAAGTTTCCCAGCTCACCTGGTTAAACCTCTGGGACCAGTTTGTGGCCTCCTGATCAAGGATGAATTCCAGGTCTTTGGACCCCCATGGTCTGTCTATCCTCCCAAACTTCACTGCTCCAAAGGACTTGTTTGGGAAGGGCACCCAGTTCACACTATCAAACTTGGCAGCGAGGTTCCCTTTCCCATCCAGATACACTCCATCCATGCAAGTATTGTAGAAGTGGGAATCTCCCAGGAAAGGATGAAGCTACAATGGCAAACAAAAGAATAAAGTGAGAAAAGAATAACTAAATGTCAGTGTTCCAGAAAACCTCCACTCCAACAAATAACTCAGAGACAGACATCCTCTCCAAGGTTCTTTTTATTAGAGTAGTAAACTGCCATATCTGGGAAATCCTGAATCTAAAAGTTGTGGGTTTCCTTGCAATAAGTTAAAAATTACAAATCCACACCCTGCACCCCTCATGGCATCAAATGCCCCAATCAACATCCATCCCAACTTGAGACGTCCTCTCAACCAGGTGCGGAAATAACATGACCTTGACTTAGAAGAAGAATGCTGTTATGTCTAACCACTTACACTCCAATAAATTTTCCCCCTCCCATTTCCCCAGGCTCAAGAATGTGGCAGGGTGGAAGCATCTGGTGCTAATATGGCTTCCAAAGTTGACAGTAAGTTCTCCAAGTAGACTTGGCAACATCCATATAACTCGAATCCAGAAGTCACGACAAAGGAGGTGGAGTGGAAGCTTCTCTGCCTCAGAAACCTCACAAAATGGACGATGATTGAAATCTTAAACTCACCACACCATCTACAAATACAGCCTGAAAGCGCACCTTCAGGATTTTTGAAGGAAATCAAATACCTGCCATGTCTGAAGCATCAGCTTCTGATTTTTTTCTTTCATCGCTTTCTGCTTGGATCTGGATAAGTAGGCAGTGTGTGATGCCCGAGCAACTGCCCGGGCGAGGTTGTAAATACCGTAGCCATCCAGAGAGAGGGTTTTCTCTAGCACCTCTTCCTGTAGGGTCTCCAGGTCCTCATTCTCCTGGCACCTCACCCTTCCTTTCACAGAAAAGAAGTGTTTGGAATACAAACAGCTGAAGGCCTTCATGCCAAACCGTTGCATAGGGATGAAAAATGTTTCATAAACATACTGCGGTCTTTTTCCAACTTGCATTAAGAAAGAGAAGAAACCCTGGAAATGTTGGGGAGACAGTACTTCATGAGATAAATTCATGAAGAGGTCCCACAGGGCTGTGGTGATCCAAACTTTCGCCAGGAGAGGCTTGATGTGCCTTTGAACGTGGCGTTGAATTAGGTGTATAGAGCTGTAAAAATGGCGATCTTCTCCAAAATATATTAAAACGCTGACTTGGTTCCACAAGTGAAATGGTTCGTTGTGCAGGAGCCTCATTTTCCAGAACACGGTTGGGATGCTCACTGAGAAGGCAACACAAATTGTGTTCCGGGTTAATATGGGATTAAGATTCTGCAGGAATCTTTTGCCATTGTCAGTGTCCGGTGCAAGGAGACCAACCCAGTTCCATCTGAAATGGAGGAGAAGTTTGGCAATTCCCCAGTACAAGTAATCTTCTTTGGGGACCATTCGGTAGATGAACGGGAACCGGGTTTTGTCATCCAGAGTTTCAGACACAAAACCATAACTGACCTTATAAAAAAAATAAGGGAAATGTTTTAGAATAGAATAGAATGGAATGGAATGGAACAGAACGGAACAGAACAGAACAGAACAGAACAGAACAGAACAGAACAGAACAGAACAGAATAGAATAGAATAGAATAGAATTCTTTTATTGGCCAAATGTTATTGGACACACAAGGAATTTGACTTGGTGCAAATGCTCTCAGTGTACATAAAAGAAAAGATACATTTGTCAAGAGTCAAGAATCATCAGGTACAATACTTAATGATAGTCATAAGGTACAATAAGCAATCAAATCATACTAGGAAAGAGTCAGTATAAATCATAAGGACACAAGCGACAAAGTTACAGTCACAAGTGGGAGGGGATGGGTGATAAGGAGTGATGAGAAGATTAATAGTAATAGTAGTGCAGACTTTGTAAATAGTTGAAAAGTTTTGAGGGAGTTATTTGTTTAGCAGAGTGATGGCATTCGGGGAAAAACTGTCCTTGTGTCTAGTTGTTCTGGTGTGCAGTGCTCTATAGCCAGGGATGGGATTCAACCGGCGTTAATACCAGTTCGGTGATTACATTTTGCGCTTACATGAAGTGATGAAACAGGCCTATTATTCGGCCTGCAAAGCCTGCAGAGGCTTTTTTCAAGCCTCTAGAAGGCCGAAAAAGGCCTCAAACCATCCAAAAAACCAGCTGTGAGACTCACGCATGCGCAGTGAGTTAAGTTTGCCTGCAGCTTGCGTGCCAGCACAAATGGCTCTGCGTGCCATCTAACATAGGTTCACCATCACGGGGCTAGGGGGCCAGAATCGGGTACTAAGCTGATGTCTCTGAAGGTATAAAAGGACGCCATACCTTCCCCAAGGTGCGGCATTTCACTGCATGCTCTTGTTCTATAAGTTGTGGAATGTCTACCCAGCTCTTCTTTGTACAAATAAAAACTGATATTTTTCCAAGCCTCTTCTTGGATCTCTCTCTTTGACATTCTGGTAACTCAGGTACATTTTGGGACCTTACAAAACGTATTAACATATAGGCAGACAAAACAAAGGGAGAGACATACATGATGTGTAGAAAGGTAGGGAAGAACTTCAGTTCACATGCTGTCAGATCCGCATATCTGCCATTCTTCAATGGAAGAAGAAGCCCTCAATGAGTTAAGTGCCCTAATGTTTTGATTGCCAGATCTTAGGTGCCAAAGGCAATTTCCTGGTGAGGACATCTGGATGGTCATGACCAGTGGTGGGTTTCCAAATTTTTTCCTACCTGAGAGGGTGCTTTGCGCAGGAACGCAGGGCTCAAAGACCTCCCTCTGTATCAACACTGGGGAGCTGTGCTGTTTTTTAGCTCAGCTGAGGTGTGGCATCTCTGCCATGCAAATCAGCTGAGCTAAAAAAACAAGGGAATATAGGAGAGGTGGTATTTGCTGGTTCTCTGAACTACTCAAAATTTCTGCTACCAGTATGACAGAATCAGTCCAAACCGGCTGAATACCACCTCTGGTCATGACATTTTCCTGGGCAGGACATATCAAGACTTGCCATTTCTTCCCAATCCCCATTCATACCTGTGGCATCTTGTAGAGGCTTGACATGGTGGAAATCTGCTCAGAAATGTTGGACTCGGTCCCTTCAATCACAGCCAGCAGCCTCTTCTCTCTTCCACAAATGTAGTTTGGGACATTTGCCTGTCCGGTGGAGAGCAAGTCCATCAGGGCATCGGCAGTCAGTCCTGGTTCATAATAGTTCTCATAGATGTCATAGCCCAGGGTGATATTGGGCAAAATGTGGGGATTCTGGTTGATCTCACGAATGGCAAAAAGAAAGGACAGAAGGTACCAGTGTGCATTATAACCTTTGCTTCAAAACAAAACAAAACCCATAACCACCTTTAATTATTCATTCAGTATTTTAACAATTCATACATTCAAGCACAGGTTGGATTCGACACCCTTTCTAACTCTATCCTTGCTATTCTTACTAGAAGTAATATTTATAATTGTTAAACATATGAAGAACTATTGCAGGAACTGGGTCGGGCTAGTCTAGAGAAAAGAAGGACTAGGGGTGACATGATAGCTGTGTTTATTTATTTATTTTTATTTTATTTGATATGTCAATCACTTAGAAGATAATAGATATAAGTATTAACATAGTTATGAATACATGAAATGGATATGTATAAGAAAAATAAAAAGAATCAATAGGACAGGGACGGTAGGCACGTTGGTCAGCTTATGCACCCCCCCCTACAGACCTCTTAGGAAAGGGGTGAGGTCAATAGTAGACAGTCTAAGGTTAAAGTTTTGGGGTTTGGGGAAGAAACCACAGAGTCAGGTAGAGTATTCCAGACATTGACCACTCTGTTGCTGAAGTCATATTTCCTGCAATCAAGTTTGGTGCGATTAACCTTGAGTTTGTATCTGTTGTTTGCTCTTGTATTGTTATGGTTGAAGCTGAAGTATTCATTGACAGGTAGGACATTGCAATGTATGATTTTATATACTACACTTAGATAGGACTGAAGATAAAATAAATGGACTTTCTCAACTGTGTTAATATCAGATACGTAATGTGGGTTCCAGACTGATGAGCTGTATTTGAGCATTGGTCTAGAAAATGTTTTGTATGCTCTAGTTCAGGGGTGGGCAAACTACGGCCCGCGGGCCACATCCGGCCTGTTGGTCTGTCCAATGCGGCCCGCCCCTGAAAAAAAATCGCTGCCATTGGTCTGTCCAATCCGGCCCGCCCCTGAAAAAAAATCGCTGGGCGTGGCGTATTGCCCTGTGCCGCGTGGCTCCCAAAGCTGCAAAACAGTGCGGAGCGATCTAGGGGTAGGAAAGAAAAGAAATTTGCAAAGACCTCGGCTGGGAGTTCGAAATCACCTTCGAGTGCGACCTGTCCGAAGGTGAGTCCCCGCCGATCCTTCTTTTTTTTCCGGGGCTTCCAGGCTTAAACTTTGCAAAGGCAAAGTTTGCAGGCTGGAGCGTCTTCCCGCCGAGGAGCGGGAAGGGTTCTGCCCAGCGGGCGGGTGGGCTGCTTAAACTTTGCTTGGGCGGCACTTTAAAAGCCTGCTCCCAGCACCCGAGCAACTTCCCAGCAACTTTCGGCTTCCTTTTAACTCGCGGGCGCTCACGCCTGGCCCCGAGCCGCGCGACAGAGGGGAAGCCTGGCGGGCGGGCGGGCTGCTTGGAGGAGGCGACCCGGTGGTGCTCCGGCAGCAGCAACAGGCAGTTTCGCCCGGGCTCCGCTCAGGTGTCCGGCTGGGGCTGTCAGGAGTTGCTACCGCCGTCGCAGCTCCGTGCGGCTCCAGTCCCGTGTTGCCTTGGGAAGGAAAAGGCAAAACCAGGAGCTGCTGAGCCTGAGACTCCGGTGCCGCTGCTCCCGTTGCAAAGCACCACCGCGGCTCTTCCTTTTTGCCTTTCCCTTACCGAGGCAACACGGCACTGGAGCCGCACAGAGCCGCGCCGGCGGTAGCAACTCCTGACTCAGGGGGCCTCCGAGGGGAGGGGAAGGAGGAGAAGAGGGGGGGGAAAGGGTGGGGGGGTGATTCCCAAAAAATCTTGTGCTGACCCGGCCCGTCTGTCAAATTTTAAAAGTCAATGCGGCCCCCGAGCCAAAAAGTTTGCCCACCCCTGCTCTAGTTAGTAGTGTGATATTACCAGAGAAAAACATAGGATTAGGTTCACAACTCTTAATGCGTTCCAATATCTAAGGGGCTGCCACAAAGAAGAGGGGGTCAACCAGGGGTAGGATGTTACCAGTTTAGCCTGGCTCTATAGAACTGGTAGCTCTGAAGAGCAGCAGACACCAAACCGGTTCTCTGTTTGCTGCTGTTTGGCCCACATGCCCACCCGGGCTCTTACCTGTCCTTTATTTCCTGCCTTTTCAACCTCAGCTGCTTTGCTTGGTTACAGCTGAGGTGGCAAAAGCAGGAAAAAAGAGGCTTTTCAAAATCTGTGCACACGTGTGCAGCGCTTTTCAGCTGTCTGAGCGGCACAGCTGATGTTTTTTCTACACACACACGCAAACGTAATCACCGAACTGGTAGTAACGCCTATTTTCCATAGCCCCTGAAGGCAAGACAAGGAGCAATGGGTGGAAACTAATCAAGGAGAGAAGCAACCTGGAATGAAGGAGAAATGTCCTGACTGTGAGAACAATTAATCAGTGGAACAACTTGCCTCCAGATATTGTAAGTGGTCCAATGTTGGAAGTTTTTAAGAAGATATTGGACAACCATTTGTCTGAAATGGTCTAGGATTTCCTGCCTGAGTAGGAGGTTGGACTAGAAGGCCTCCAAGATCCCATCCAACTCTGTTATTCTGATAACTGGCACCTCTTTAAAAACTATGAAAGAATGAATAGTGTAGGACAAGAACATTCCAATGTTCATTCTGTGCATTCTGCCAGGGTGTCAGCAGTCTTTCCTGATTCATAATAGTCCTCGTTAATGTCATAACCCAGGGAAACATTGAGTAAAACTTGGGAATTTTTGGTTGATCTCATGAATGGCAAAAAGAAAGGAGAGAAGGAACCAGTATGAATGATAGCCTTTCCTGCATAAAACCACAGAACAACACACTTTTAATGCAACCCTAAGTTGCCTTAACAGAGGGATTCAATCAAGATAACATGAGGTATTAATTCCACTCTATAAAGCCTTAGTAAGACCACACCTAGAGCACTGCATTCAGTTTTGGTCACCACATCATAAAAAAGATGTTGAGATTGTAGAAAGAGTGCAGAGAACAGCAAACAAGGATGATTAGGGGACTGGAGGCTAAAGCATATGAAGAACAGTTGTAGGAACTGGGCTTGGCTA